CGGGAACCCCTGCTGAAGCCTCACACGCCGGCTCTGTGGGAGCTCCACGCAGGGGTCATGGCATATATTCCTTTCCAGCTGAGCACAGAACAGCAGAGAGGTTGGGGTGGCCCCCGAAGCTCCCTCAGGAACCCCCAGATCAGCTGATGAGCACATGCTACTGGGTTGCTGCTGAGCTGATCCCTGGTTTCCCCCATACCAGCCAGAGCGGCTGTTGATCTGAATGGCCTTGCATGCCCTTCAGCTGAGTTGTGGGCTTCTGAGAAGCTGGGGGATGCCAGGAGCTTTTCCCGTTATCCCCAAAGGCAGAGCAGGGTGGGTAGCCACGTTGCTCTCCCTGAGCTTAACCACTGGTTGCTCCTTCTACCTCAGCTTGAGCTCTGATTGCATGGACTAGCTGGGATTCACCCCATGTGAAGATGTGGTCCCTCTGAGCGGTGCTGGTCAAGTAGGGGGCTGCACAGATAATACCCTCCGTCTTGGACACTCAGTGGGGAGCCCAAGCTGAGCTGCTGGCAGGCAGCCCACTCACTGCCCACAGCTGTCTGGACAATGCGACTGAGGGTTAGCCTCCAGGGAAGCTGGTGAGATGCTGCTTGGCTTCCTTACAAGCTTCTCCAAGGGTGCCCCTGCCCACCTCCATGCTGAGCCCTGGACCTGATGAGGGTACTGGGTAACGGAGTTACCTGCCTTGTGTACCCTAGCAGAGGCACTCACCCAGGAGGTGGAAACTGAACAGTCTTGCAGTTCAGCATCTTCTGGAAAGATAAGTGCATATGAGAAACCAGAGTCCTCATCCTTGGGTCCATACCTGTTACCATCTGCTGTCTTTCAGAGAAGGCCATGATCTGAGAGAGGCTCCCTTGTACACACTTCTGCATGTTCCTATCACCCCAGAGCCCGGAAAGTAAAGAAGATGTCCCCTTTTACTCACCACACCAAAGACCAGCATGGATTGAAGCAGGTAGGACTGTGTTTCTCTGTAGCCACTTCTGTGGTGTGCGGCCTTCAGAGTTCTCCTCTCAGAATGTTCTTGCAAACCGCTCCCGAAAAAGTAAATTGCTGTTAGTGACGTCACTGGGACTGGATTGAAAATCTGATTGATTAAATATATATGTGTGTGTGTGTTTGCGTGTGTATATATTTAGATGCACACACGCATAGTGGTTCAGTGAGGTCAG